GGTGCTTTTTCCACACAATGGGCTAGGCACAACACAAGCTTGGATTTAAAATCTGAACTGTCCATCAGCTGTCAGTTTTGTCCCCATGCATTTCGCTCTGCAAAGTCAAAAACAAATAGATGCCTCTCAGGCAGAGAGATTACAGCCTATCATCTGCTCAGTGGATAACATAGAAGAAACAGTTTGAACAATCATATGGCTCACTCTCATATCACTGTCACTCAATATTACTTTGCATTAGGACTTGCTTTCATTTTGGCTGAATATTTAAAAGGTTCTCTGACTATGTGGCATACTTAAGATGTCAGATCTGCTAGTTTATGGTGAATCACTGGTAAATTTCCATTATTGTGGCAAAATGTCTGCTATAATTTAAGATTTCCACTCACATTGAAATAAGTGATGGCTAGAAAATTGTGATCTCTCTAGACAACTAATCTGGTTGTTATTTCTGATGAGGTGCACACAAGGTAACTGACTCACCAGCTTGTTGGCTTTCTTATAGGATTGGAGTGTGGTTTGTCAGATTTCTCAAATCTTTAGTACAGTGTTTCAGATTTCTGAAATTGTACAAACTGGTATCCTCAGTCACCCTATTCTGGAATATAGCCCTGTGATTTTAGTTAAATGATTGTTCAGTGTGGAGCCTTTTGCTGTTGAAAACAGATATTTCCAATGGTAAACTTCGTGGAACCCTGACAAAAAGGAAGGGTACTTGCAGTTAAAGATGAGCTTGTTGAAATAATTAGAAGATGGAACAGCAGGATTTTTTTCCAGATAATATACATAATTAATTTTAGGGCATGGAAGATAAGGGATATGATTTTGTGAAATTAATAACAATACCTTGAGAAGAAATAATTTCAAAAATTTTGCTGAATTTAGAGGACTTTATGAATATGTATAGGATGACATTGTGAATATCTATATTATAGATATATATATATAGAGAGAGAGAGATATTTTAAGTTTCATTTATTTGCTAGAGAAAACTGCAGTACATTTAAACAGTGAATCCAGTTGTACTTATTTTAATTCTGAATTCTTAAATTCCTTTCAAGTACAGTGATGTGAAAAAGAAAGCACACACTCTTTGAGTTCTATGGTTTTATGTAAAACCATAGAACTCATAGTAAAAATTATCTGTTTCTTAGCAGTTCATAAAAGTAGATAAATACAAACTCAGTTGAATAGAACACATGATATATTATACCATGTCATTTAGCTAGTCAAAGTACATTATTTTCTTTAATATTAGCTCTTTATCAATTTCAACTATTGCACAGATCAAATTTTCTGATAATACTTTAGAATTTTCAATAGTCTTGTAATTGAATATAAAGCAGAAATCATTTGTTAGAAATTTTATCTATTGTATTGATTAATGCCAGTAGCTGTGATAAATAAAGTAAATTCAAAATTCCTCATAAAGAGAAAAATATAGACATTGTTTTTCTTGTATAGATCAAGAGTCAATGGCTTTACTATAATAAATTCAAACTCGGCTAATAAACATTGCCATCTTATGGTAGAATAGGGAAAATACCTCCTTTAAGAAAACTGGTCCTTTTGTGTCCTATTTTAAATATCCCTCAAAGCAAGAGTGTTGAATATTTGGGTGGGTGGTATTTTTAGGAAATAAGGAGATAAAGTATGGGTCTTTAAATATTTTTGTCTTACTCTTCGGATGAATAATTCTTAAAATAATTCTGATTTTCCTAGAAACCATTTCCCTGATTTGAATACTTACTGCACAGAATAGTAATAGGAGTAATTATTCTAATTCTATAATATTATTACTACTTTAACCAACATTACTCAGGTTTCACAATCATAAATAAATTTCCAAATATCCTACTGGCCCAAATAGCAATGAATGTGGTGTTATTCAGGTGTTTCTGACCCTTTGTGAGCCAATGGACATCATTTTCCTAGGATTCTTTATCAGTAATTATGCCTTTGAATTCTAGCTGATTCATATATTCTTATGTACATATATGTAATACAATTTATTTGTAACTTTTCCAGTAATGCCTAAACAAGGCCCATAGATATGAGAACTTATAAATTAAATTGGCCAAAAGATTGAGGGGTCATTGGTGCTCTCTGAGTTTAATAGTTTTCTTGCAGACATTTCATTACCCAAACTAGATAACATCAGTGCTAGTTAAGGAGTGGGATTTGCTCTCAATTTAGATTCGAGTGTTTGGGCAGGATTAGGGTAGTGCATCTATCCTTGCCCTATTTTACCTCTCAATGGTTTTTGATAGTATTGACCATGATATTCTTCTGGATTGGCTCAGAGAATTGAGAGTGGGCAGTATAGTGTTGTGCTGGTCTGCTTCCTTCACTCAAGGCCAATGCCAGTATTTGGCACAGAGTTCTGATCCTTGTTCTTATGGCATGATAATGGGCTGAAAATGATAGCTGGATAAATGTCAGATATTGTTAACAGGATTGCTAGTGATGAGGGATCATGGGTTCTGTGTCACACATCTCAGGCATGTTGAAAACTTTCAAAATGCTGTATATGTACCTACAAGGAAGCAGTTTTCTTTTAAGTATGTAGCTTGTGTGTTAAGGGGATAGTTGCCTTTTAACATTGGGTATTAATGGAAGCTCACTGACTGGAAGAGGGTCCATTGATTGGAACAATGAACAGGAGGAAGGTTGCTTTTTTTCTCTTCCAATTATTACACCAAAATTAAATTAACCTGCTGAAAGAGAAAATCTTATACTTTTTACTTTCATAGAAGTTCAACAATGTATGTTCTAGTCTAAAAACACCTCTGAAATAAATTAACAGGGACTGGTAACAATTTGATGAAGGAGAAAAAAATTCAAAATATATTAACTAACGTGGCAGATTATTTTCTAGCAAAAAGGATGTCAAGCTTTTTCATTTTCTTTCTTTTTTTCTGTGGATGGGTGGGTAGTGGCTTTGAATGAAGCCTTTTGGCAAGTGGCCATATTTCAACAAAAGGAAGAGCACAGCTGTTGTAAATCAATGGATTTTTTTTAGATTTAAATGCTGCAGAGCTTGCATGTTCAGGATGCATAATAGCATTTATCAAAGAGAGAAGATCAGAGCTGTTACTTTTACCAAAATGAACTATGCACTTGGACCTTTAAAACCTGCTAAAACGACTCTACATAAAGAGGCCTTAAGCTTACCTGAGCTTCATAGTGTTTTTAAATCTATGTAAATCATTTTCCCTGGCCCTCCTTGAAATGCCCTTTAGAATGATGACTGTCAGAGACACCAGAATGAATTAAATATAAAAAATGTCTCAAGTTGGTTACTGACTAAAGAAATGGAGTTCCACAATATTTTGAGGTTTCACAAGGTTTTTCAGTTACAATAATCTTCTTTTGCCTCTTTCAGCTACTACTATTATTGTTCCATTTAAACTGAGAGTATTTATTTAAACATAGCTTTACTGCCTTGTCATTTCCAAGTGGTTTACAACATTATAATATTTTTATGTAATTTAAAAATGAAGTAAAGTATGACTTTAATGGAAGGTTAAAATTTTAATAACTCTCATTTGAACTATTAAGATGTAATTAATATAGAATTTGCATGACAAAAATGAGAAAATGGAATAATTTGTCTTGCTTGTTCCAAAGATGCTCTTTCAAAAGTCAACTGGAGTTCCTTTGTTTTTTCCTTTGAAGTCGTTTTGCTTCTTACCCAAGAAGCTTCTTCAGTTTTCACTGAATGGTGAAGAATGGAAGGATTAATATTGCTCGCACTCATCTGGACATTAGCACTCTTTCTGAGAGTCATTGAGGCCACTTGGAAGTTTATCTGTGCCCTCAGGGTCATTTGAAGAGTGCAAATGGATGTGGAACCCTCTTGGAACTGTTCAGGTTTCCGAGGATGAGGATCTTAGAGGAGAAGCTAAACTTCTTCAAGGGAAGAAAACAAAAGAAGTCCAGTGGCCTTTTGAAACAGCATCTTTGAGACAACCATGACCTGAATGACTTTGAATGTCCATAGACATTTGTCTTGCTTCCAAATGTATTTGGCATGAGTAAAAAAAAGCATTTCAATTTGCACAAGTTAGACTTCATATTTTTTATCTGGTCTACCTCCATTTGTAGTCTTCACATTATTAGCAAGGCTGATTGGGCAATTCAAGCCGAACATTTTTGGAATGCATGAGATTTCGGAAGGCTATACAAAATCAGCACTTCAGATACACTGGCAGCTTCAATAAAGAGCCAAAAGAAAGAAATTCTAGTTTGATGAATAAATCAGTTCACAAGTTTTGGATCCAAATTGCAATATCAGCTATCAGAAAACTTGTACTTTTAAGTTAAAACTATAAAATTTTACAGTATACATGTAGTCCAGCAAATATATTTGTGCAGAGTGCGAGAATAAGAGAATGAGGATAAAGTCTAGATTTATGAGCATATCCATGTATGTATATCTACATCTATATAAACACCACATAGAGTCCACAAAAGTCCTTCTGGTAAGCTGTCATCACAATTTCTCATCTTTCTCCATCACTCTCCACAAAGCAAGTCATCAATTCTGGTAGGAACTGGAACTTGGATTATATTTGTTACAGTCAAGCTGAGAAAGAAATGCCTTTATCTTTTGCGATCTATTTCTATTACTGTACTGCCATAGTTGCATCCTAGTTTGTAAAGCAAACCATGGCAATGTGGATAAATGTAATTGCATCATGTTAAAATATAATATGGGTTTGGTTTGGTTTGGTGTAATGTGAAAACTATGCTGTTGGATAGATGTGCGTGAAGTCAGCCAATTGTGACTTTTTCAGATTATGACTGTGCCAGAAAAATGAGGGCTTAAGGTCAGGAAGGTGCTTAGAATGAAGCAGAAAATAAAACTTGAAAACTTGAAAAGAAAAATGTGAAATTATGGAAAGCTCTTCTTCTCCCTTGCTTTATATTTTCTCTTAAGTAGAATTATATTTCATTTGATTGAATTCTTTTGGAAAACATGTTTTGCTCTTTCCCAGCAGTTTCAGGAGCAAGTGCCTGATGACTCCGAAGTTCAGTCTTTCTACAATGTAAGAAACTTGCAAAGCTTTGTTCTGCTGGGAACCAGTCTGGTGCTACGGTTGCTTAGTCGTGCAATTAATTTGTGCTTTCTTTGTGTTGGTGTGTTTTCTTCACTAGTTATGAGGGTCCCGTGACATTAGATGCTTGCAAAATTTCATGTGGTAGGGATCTTAAGTTTTTTTCTAAACCTCTGTGCGATTCACTTAATTCTGATTTTGTGCTTAGTATTGTTGCTTTGTAGAATCAAGTTGAGGCGGGGGAAGGGAGATAGAGGGAGGCGGGGGGAGAGAGAGAGAGAGAGAAGTAAAAGACATTGTCTTTTACTTGCTTTGTCCCAAAATGCTTAGAAGCTAAATTTTGAGGTGAAAGTGGCAGGTTAAAAAGAAACAGATTTGATGTCCATAGGCTTGTGAATATTAGAAACAATTCCAATTTAATCTCAAGCCCTCTCTGGAATGTGTATTTCCAATTTAGTTTTCTTTTTCCGTATAACTTTTTGCATCTAAGAAACAAATCTCTTGTTTCTATTGTTATTAAAGTGCATCTTAACGTGACAAATTAAACAATTATATGTTGCGATCTTGTGTATTTTTTTTTTGTTTCCCCCAATTTTCACTTTATACCATGCTTACAATGGCAGGGACAATATTATATTGTAACCAGAGAATATTTTAAAAATTATGAACTTGTAATTTATGTGGTACAATTCTTTTATTGGTTTACATTAGATTCCTTGGAAGGTCCTTGGCCTTCAAGAGTACCTGTGGAAGTACTTTCCTAATTTTTTAATTGTCTTACTTAAAAACTATTCTAACTACTATTTTCTTTTTTTGAGTTCTTAATGTTTGGGAACATGACTTGAGTGGTCTTTCTCCTCTTGATTGTTGAAATATTCCCCAGTATGCTCTTTTTTTAAAATTTTACTTTCACTTATTATTGCATTTCTTTGCTGCCCAATTCCCAACAACTCTGGATGGTCACAAAGCTGCTAATTTTTGTACATTTGTTACAATTTATGTTAATGCTTTTGCAAGCTTTTAGTTGAAGCAACTTGGTATTGGGATCTGTGCCTTGAAATCTCTCCTTAGCTGTAATAGTGTACTTTGTAAGTAGAAGGATTATATATTTTGAACATTCAAAATATTTGTTCTATTCATATTTTTAACCAAATCATAAATGGGAATTTAGTAGTTATCTTGGAAAGACCTTCTGTAGACATCTTTCTCTAATGCTCATCATACATGCATTATTTCTGAAGATGACATGAAACAGTTTCTTTTGAACAAATAACTTTTCTTTTGTAATTAAAAATTTCTCTACTGTGGTTGTATTTTTTGTGAAAAAAATGTTTACTAATGTTTAATATATTTTTCAGATCGAGAAAATAATGAGTTCCATTGGCGAAGGCATTGACTTTTCACAGGAGCAACAAAGAATGTCAGGTACTATATTGAATTGTAGACAAGTGTGAATGAGTTTTATCTCAGACAGTCACCATTATTTATGTTTGCATTCAAAAGAAAAAAAAAAGAAGGCCAATGCAATAAGTTTAACCTATTTGGGGATTTTAGTTTTGCAAGCCATGTTTCTATATTTGGTGTTCTCCTATTTCCAGGGTTCCAGATAAAATATTTCAAATAACTTTCTGTGTTTTCATATTGGATAAATACCACAAGGTTTAATTTAATTTATTGAACTACATTACTACAATCAGATATTGTATTTTGTGCTAAATACTTTGCACAACAAAAATTAAAATGTATGCACAGATGAGGGACAAAAATCTATCCAAAAGCTCAGATTGCTTCCCTGGCACTAGTTGTAATATTTAGATAGTCTACATGTTCCTGAAGTCTTGTTCCAGAAGGCTGCCAGAAGAAAAAGCTGCTTAAAGACGTCTGTTTCCAGTCTTCTCAGGGACAGCTGGCTTTTATTCATCCCTTACGTTCCTTTTTAGATAATTCTGGATCAGTGGTTTTAAATGGACTTTCAACTGTAACAGTTGAGATTTGCCTTTCTTCGTTTCTCCCTTTTCCCAAAAGGGAAAAACAAGGGTAAGCAAGGCTCCAAGGAGCTGGCATTTGCTTCCGAAGGGGGATAGAGGGAAGACTTTCAATGGGGACTTTCAATGGGGATGGGGTGACGGTTGCCAATCAGAGAGAAAATTCTGCTTGTGGAAGAAAACTTCTTCATCTGTAACTTACAAGTATGGCTAGGAAAATGGAGAGAAATAAAAAGAGAGAAATAAGGGCAAAACTTATTAAATATGCAGTGGAGCTTGATGACTTTTATCTATTACAGAATAACACCTTATATGTATCGGATGTAATCCCACTTATCATAAGGAAGAGGGTTGGGCCAACATTTACAAATGGATGAAAGTTGATTAAAAACATTAAAGGAATCATACTGGATTGTATGAAAGACCAGTTTAGTCTAATATTATGTTCTTAATATTATGTTCTTAATATTAGCCAACTATGGAAGCCCTACAAGCAGGACATAAAGTACTGGGTTTCATCTTTTTAACTAGTCTTGCACTAGTTAAAAAACTGTAATGTTCAGCTGTTTTGTCGCAGGAATCCTCCCTTTAGACAGAGCTCTCTCTATCTTGAAACACCCTATTTCTATAATTGTAGGTAGCTTTATGCGCATGATGTTGCAACCAGTTAAATTAGAAATTCTCGTATTAAAAAAGGTTGTGGTCTAATTGATGTTGAGTAATTTTTAATCTAGAAGGTATTATTTATTTGAATAAGAATAAATATTAGTATCATTTAACATTTAACAATCAGTCTAGAGAAAGAATACAATAGTAACATTTTCAGTAATATATGTTTGTATAATCAGTACAGGAAAAATACTCTGAAAATTTCACTTTCACATAATAACTTACGCAGAATTTTGACACTACCGTTTAAAAAAAGTATAATCCCCAGCAGAAGAGCTATGGCAATGCATGAAATGCGCCCCCCCCCCCCAAAAAAAAACCAAGCAGAGGAAGATAATCAATCAATTACTACTTCAATTGAATATTTATGCAACTTTTGAGCCAAAACTGTGTTCTGTACAGTCCATGTAATGCTTTGCTCTAGATAGTCATGTAGGAATTATAAATTACTCTGGTTCTCTTAAAAAATATAAATGCAAAATTGTTCCTATTTCCTCTGCCTAACCCCCAAATGCACATATTATCTCCATATCCAAAACAAATAAATAGATAAGGATGCAGATTTAAATTATACATTTTTATGATAAGTCAGGAATGAAAAAACAACCCCCACCACCACCACAAATTTAGGGATTCCAGCCTCAGTTTATTCAAAAAGAAAAAAGATTAGTCCATAAGAGATTTTTAAAAATCTTTTTTAATACTTTAAAAATAGCCAGAATTGTTTAGCTTGTAGCAGACAATATGGAAGTTAAGTATGTAGTACTGAGTGAAGAAACAGATTCAATGTTTCATCTGATTTCTAGACTCCAGAAATGATTCAGTGATCTATATCTTAATAGAACAGCCAATACATTATTATATGACTTCCATTTATTGATTACATGCCATCAAGTCATGTTGATTCTTAACAATTACATAGATTGATCTTATCCAGAGTGCTCTATGCCTAACGTGGCCCTTAAGGTCTTCCAACAGTGCACCAATTGAGCCCATCCACTTGCCTCTGGCCACCTTCTTTCCTTTCCTTCTACCTTTTTTGATATGTTATAATAGAACATGTAATGTTCTATAGAACGTGTAATGTTTTAAGAATTCCATTACACAACTGAAAAATTACAGATCAGCCTCCCGGTAAATTTAGTTCATTGAAAATAGTGGAAAGAATATTGAACATATTATGGAATTGCCACAAGATGTATTCAGTATGCACTGAATACTAGGAGTTGGGAAGCATCAGGAGTTGGGGAGCAATATTGGTGACAAATATTATTGTGGTTTCCTGCTTGTATTTTTCCAGAGCCATCTATTTAAGAACTCTGTAGAAGAAAATGCTGGGTTAGAGCTCTGGCCCAATTCAGAATGATTTTCATAGGACTTAACTGCCACCCTGCAATGTGAATCTTGATGTATAGTTTTTAGTTAGAAGTTTTTATTGTTCTATACCCGTGATGGTGAACCTATGGCACATGTGCCAAAAGTGGCATGCAGAGCATCTCTCCAAGCACACCAGCCGTTGCCCATTGCTGTTCCAGGTTCCGGTGCATGTTGGCCAGTTGGTCTTCATGCGCACATGCACGTGTGAAGACTAGCTTGCCAGCACACATGCACATTAGAAACCGGCCTGCCATCTGGTCGTTAGACGCCGAAAGACTAGGTAGCCGGTGCGCATGCATGCTCCGGGAGCTGCTCTTCCAGTTTTCGGCGCACACTTTTTGCCACTCGGTTCCTTTTTGGCACGAGTGCGCTCCCATTTCAGCACTCAGTGCCAAAAAGGTTAGCCGCCTCTGTTCTATACAGTGCATACAGTGGTACTTTTTCATAAGCATTTCTTTCCACTGAGATCTGAATCTACTCTAGGAGATTTTTTTTCTATAAGTATCCACATTTCCACAAGAATCACATTGTTATGTTTAATGCATGGCTAACTGCAGGTATTTTGCATGCTCATCATAATGCAGTGTTGACTGAAAAATTTGCATGAAACTGTTAAACTTGTTACAATTATACGATACCACGTGTATGTCACCAATGTTTCATGTAATAATACGATGCTTTATTTTACATCCTGTACCCAGACTAATATTAACAAATGTGCTCAAACTGTCAATATATGTTATTGTCTTCTGTTGAAGTTCAATAATTACTATCCCCGGAAATTTTGGGAGGCTACATACATACATACTTTGCAACTTGCTTATAAATACAGTATATTTAAGTATCTCACTTTTGCAGCTATTCTACTATAAATGATGTTTTAGATTCTTTTTCAAATAGATAATATGAGGGAGGAACTTATAATTCAACTCACATTCTGTTGCTCTGATACAGCTAAGCGATCATACATAGCATTCCAAGAAAAATAGCTTTTTTATACAGTACTTATCAGTAGAGAAATAGCTTTATGTAATTTGAGGCATTTTCTGGAATTTGAGAACTCCAAGTAATACAGAGCAAGTATCTATAGCTTAAAATGTATTATATCTTGCCCCGCCTAGGTGACCCAGAGTATTACACATTCCTTTCAGATTATATTAAGTATCTTATGTAGTTAGCAGTGTCTAGTACGACTCTGAACTGTTAGGTTTACTGATCTGAATTTCTGTAAATGTATGGTTCCAGTTTTGTTTCCATCATCAACTGTTTGGTGCTTTCATCTGGACACTTCTGGAAGATATTAATATTTGCTATGAAAGCCACAACTTTTCATATCATAAGTTGATTCAGCTTCATTGTCAGCATGCATAAGCAAAAATAGCATCATTGATAATTAGAGAGAAAATATAATTTGGAAAATGAATGAAGAGCTGGTTGCAGCCCCGGCTCCTTCAAAAGTGTAATCAACACATAGGAAAAAAATAGATCAGGAGAACCGTATTTTCCAGCTTTATCCCTGACATTTTTCTCAGTTCTTTCAGAGAGTGCTTAATCAGCTGAATTCCCACCAGCACAGAAAACTCATGTGCTCCATCTCTATATTTGGCTCAATATATTGCATGGTGCTGGAGATCATACAGTTGATTAGAGGCATGTTTCAATTTCTCCTCCACACAATTTTTAGCCTTTATTTAATATATTGGTCTCTGAAATAATCACAGCTCTTTTCTATTGTCCATAAACATCTGACTGGGACACAAATTACCTTGAATACTTATTACTTTATGCTTCAGAAATAACCAAATAGTTTAGCTTTATATAGAATTTTGAACATTGACGATGATGTGGGTTTGAATGAGGAATTTTCTTTTGTAGCTGGTTGTATTTGTTCTTGATACAGTTTTTACAGTTATTCTTGTTTTTATTTTTTGTTTCTTTTAATGAGCTCATGGAATTGCTACTACTTTCTACAAACTACTAGACCAGTAACTGACAGTCTCCTTTTTTATGTGTGGACTACTACATCTTTGCTGAAAGTTTTTGCAAATAATCATTAAGCCAGCTAAGATTTTGGTGAGAACGGCACCAAATGCTGGAGGATCAGAAGTGTCAAAATGTTGTAAGATTTAACTATCTCATAAGATTTAATTATCTCATGAGATTTCAGCAATTTTTCAAAACGATTTACAGATGGTCCTTAAATTATGGCCATAATTGGGATCATAATTTACATAGCTAAGCAAGACGTTTATTACATTGATTTTATACTCCCCCCCTCCCAAACTTGTTAAGTGAATTACTACAGTTGTTATTTAAATCACGCAGTTACTAATCTGGTTTTTCCCAATGATTTTGATGTCGAAAGTCAGCTGGGAAGGTTGCAAATGATGATCA